AAGGAGGAAGCGTAACATTTGGTGACAACTCTAAAGGTAAGGTAATTGGCATTGAGATCATAGGTATTTCTCCTTCTTTATCAATTGAACATGTCTTACTTGTTGAAGGTTTAAAGCATAATCTATTTAGTGTTAGTCAACTTTGTGATAATGGATTTGATGTAATTTTTAAATCGGATAAATGCATTGTTAAAAGAAATGAATCTCAAATATTTTGTGCTCCTAGACATGGTAATGTATACACCTTGCTCTTAGGTGAACTTCAAGAACAAGATATTAAGTGTTTCATGTCATCTAATGAACATAGTTGGTCGTGGCATAGGAGGTTAGGTCATGCTAGCATAGATTTAATCACAAGATTGTCTAAAAATGAACTTGTCAAAGGTCTCCCCAAGACAAATTTTTCAAAAGATAAACCGTGTAGTGCTTGCCAAATTGGTAAGCAAATTAAGTCCTCCTTCAAAAGAAAAAAGGATATAACCACTTTAAAACCACTTGAATTGATTCACATGGATCTTTTTGGTCCGGAGAAAATTACTAGTCTTGGTGGTAAACTATATGCCTTTGTAATCGTAGATGACTACTCTAGATTCACTTGGGTATTCTTCCTTGCACGCAAAAATGAGGCTCATTCAATTCTTTCAAAATTTTGCAAAAGAGTCGAAAACGAAAAGGAATGTAAAATTAAACCACTAGAAGTGATAGGGGTAGAGAGTTTGACAATCAAGATGTTGAAAGATTTTGCGACGAAAATGGCTACAATCACAATCTTTCGGAACCTAGGACTCCCCAACAAAACGGTGCTGTTGAAAGGAAAAATAGATCTCTTCAAGAAATGGCTAGAACCATGCTAAATGAGCACAATTCACCTAGATCTTTACGGGCAGAAGCCGTAAATACTTCATACTAGGTTATAAATAGAGTTGTTATTAGAAATATTCTCAATAAAACACCCTATGAGTTATGGAACAAAAGAAAACCTAATATAGGCTATTTCAAAGTTTTTGGGTGCAAATGCTTTGTCCTTAATGACAAGGATAATCTAGGAAAATTTGATACTAAATCCGATAAAGGCATTTTTCTTGGGTATTCCTCTTGAAGTAAAGTATATAGAGTTTATAACAAGAGGACCTTAGTTGTGGTTGAATCCATACATGTTGTGTTTGATGAATCCCCAACCTCTCTCACAAAAAGTGTGATAGACAATGATGAAGAAGTTGAACTTGAAAAGGGTAACAATGAACTTAATACAAATAGGTGCCCTATAGAGCTTGAGAAGAGTATCAATGATCTCAACATAAATGAGTCTTCTATTGATATCTATCAAAGTTCCAATTCAAGTGATGATACCTCTCAAAATAAAACTACTCCAAATGAATAGAAGTTAGTTCATAATCATCCCATTGACCAAGTTATTGGTGATCCATCCAAAGGTGTTAGTACACGGTCACAATTAAGAAATATATACAATTTTGTGGCATTTGTTTCTCAATTTAAACCTAAAAATATACATAAGGCTGAAAATGATGAATCTTGGCTCTTGGCAATGCAAGAAGAACTCATTCAATTTAAAAGAAACAAGGTTTGGCATCTTGTCCCTAGACCTCAAAATAAAACAATTATAGGCACAAAATGGGTTTTTTGAAACAAAAAGGATGAGTCTGGAACTATTGTTAGGAATAAGGCTAGACTTGTTGCAAAAGGGTATAACCAAGAAGAAGGTATAGATTATGAAGAGACTTTTGCTCCCGTTGCTAGACTTGAGGCTATAAAAATGTTACTTGCATTTGTATCTCACAAAAATTTCAAATTATTTCAAATGGATGTAAAAAGCTCCTTCTTAAATGGTTTTATAGATGAAGAAGTATTTGTAGAACAACCACCGGGCTTTGAAAGCTATGACAATCCAAACCATGTTTATAAATTGACCAAAGCTTTATATGGTTTAAAACAAGCTCTTAGAGCTTGGTACAAAAGACTTAGTGGGTTTCTATTTTCAACTGGTTTTAGTAGAGGAAAATTGATAATACACTGTTTACCAAAACCATTGATGGCAATTTATTGATCATTCAAATTTACGTTGATGACATTATTTTTGGATCAACAAATGACTCTCTAAGTAAAGAGTTTGCTACCTCCATGCAAAACGAGTTTGAAATGAGTATGATGGGCGAACTCAACTTCTTCTTAGGCTTGCAAATCAAACAAACTCTTAATGGAATTTTTATTTCCCAATCAAAGTATACAAAAGATTTGCTAAAGAAATTTGGCTCGGATGACGCCAAACATGCTAAAACTCCCATGAGTCCTTCTTCAAAGCTTGATAAGGATGAGAAGGGCAAGGATATTGATATTAAGAAATATAGGGGGATGATTGGAAGTCTTCTATATTTAACGGCTAGTAGGCCGGACATTATGTTTAGTGTATGTTTATGTGCTAGGTTTCAATCTTGTCCCAAAGAATCTCACTTAAATGTTGTAAAGCGAATTTTTAAGTATTTAAATGGCACTATCAACTTAGGATTATGGTACCCTAGGCACACTTCATTTGAACTTGTAGGATTCACTTATGTTGATTTTGCCGGTTGTAAAGTTGATGGAAAAAGTACAAGCGGCGCATGTCACTTTATTGGTCAATCTCTTGTATCTTGGTCTTGCAAGAAACAAAACTTAGTAGCACTCTCCACTACTGAAGCTGAATATTTTGCTACTAGAAGCTGTTGTGCACAAATCTTATATATCAAACAACAACTTGAAGACTTTGGTTTATTCTTCGACAAATTCCCTATTAAATGTGACTATACCAGCGCCATATGCATATCAAAGAACCCTATTCAGCATTCTAAAACAAAGCATATTGAAATCAGGTATCACTTCTTAAGGGATCATGTTTCTAAAGGAGATGTTGAATTAATGTTTATCAACACCAAGAATCAATTGGCTGACATTCTCACGAAGCCACTTCAAAAAGATAAGTTTTGCACACTTCGTCGAGAAATCGGAATGACTATAGAAAGAGAGATTCATGACCACTAATGTATCCCTCAAGAAATAAAAGATGTGGTTTTATTTGATGCGAGAATTTAAATTTCAAACGGGCTTTATTCCTTGAAATGTGTGTCCAACAGCTAGAATTCATATCAGACAGTTCTGAAAGTCTATATAATAACTGGTAGCCTTCATAAAAGCTAGTTGCATTTATTAAGAAAGATTTTCTAGCAATCAAAAAGCCTTTCATCATCATATTCACACATCTCATATCATAAAAGAGAGTTGAGCTTCAATTTTTTCATACACACTCTAGAGTAAGCTATATCTTGTACTTCAGATCTAAGAGAGATCATATTGTACTTCTTCAATCTTGTTCAAAACTTGTAAGGGCTGGTGTGGCCCAAGAAAGACTAAGAGAGGGTATTTCTCTTAGCACCTAGAAGCCAAGAAGAGCTTCTTGTAAAAGGTTTGCTCTCCACCTGTAAGGAGAAGCCATAGTGAATTAGGAAGTCTCAAGAGGAGTCTTAAGCCGAGGAGTAGGAGTTTCCGAACCTCGCTAAAAATCGTTGAGTATATGTTTGCAATTTCTATCTCTATCTCTTACTTTTATTGTTTCATATCTTGTTTGATAAATAGTGTCTTTTGAAGTCTAAAATTCAGTTTGTCTTCTTCAATATTTATCAAGGAAGTTAAGTCTTGTTATAGTTAGTGAGTTAAAATTCAAAATTGACCTTAGTTTGTTTAGACTCTATTCCCCCCTCCCCCCTCTCTAGAGTCTATACTTGGGCAACAGGTTCTTCAAAAAATCCCAGATGGATTTTGCATAATTAAATCGGCTGAATTCGATACTGATGGATAAGATACAAGTGTTGCGAAACCAAGTAATAATTTGATGATTTTTGTTCTCCCATTCTTCAAGACGATCACCATATTTTTCTGTTGTTTCTGTGTCGAGTTGCACTGGTTCGATGACATCACCTGTAATAATCCGCCATAATTTCTTACCTTTAAGAAAACTGGACATAGCTTGAGACCAAAGGATATAATTTGAACAACCTGCCAAAATAGTCCTAATAGGATTAGAATTTTCAAATCTGTCCATGACTGATAGAAATATGAGAGGTGATTAGTAGGCCCAATCTTGTCACAATAGTAAGCCCCAAATGTTGTTGTTGTTGTTGTTGTTATTTTTTTTTTTTTTTTTTTTTTTTTAACTGCTACCCAAATAAATGTCCACAAAAAAGAAAGATAAGATTGGAGAGAGCACCACCGATAGTTGGCAAATAAAGCAACGGTGTGATGTCAGCGAAGATGGAGATGAGAGCGGTGTGATGTCAACTGGCTGTTGGTGGCGGATGGTTCGACTGTGGATTCCCGGCGGCGGCAGAGAGCAGAGAGCAGAGAAATCATCGGTGACGATGTTGGTGCTACGGCGAGGCTGGCGGCTTAAACACCTAAGAAAGAGTAGCATTGTGAGGAGCGGCGACTCGTTGCAGAAGGTGTGAGGACTGGATTTGCCGAGGAAGGAGGTGGCACGTGGAACAGCGGCTGAAGCTTGCGAATGACGAAACCGAACTGGAACAGCAAGCGATGGAAACTGAAAGAGATGGGGTTTGATATAGATAATGGGTTTTGAACATTTGATTCTTATAGATTTTGTAGTTTGCAGAGAGAGATGGAGGCTCTGACTCAAATCAGATGAGTCGTAACGGTGGAATAAAAAATTGAGATGGTGCAGATGAGGATCAGAGGCATGGCTCTGATACCATGTTGAATATAAGAGAGTGACAGAGATATATGTTGAATATGTTCTATATAATCAAGTGTGAATAAATCATGTACAAGGGGAGGTATAAATAGGTGAGAGATCACCAACGGCTATACAATAATCATTGCAACAATCTATACAACGGCTATAATATAATGTAACTATGGTAACAATCTATACAACGGCTATAATATAATGTAACTATGGTAATAATTTATACAACGGCTATAATCTAATTATGTTAACACTTGTCACGAGTAGTGGCGTTGGAAGTAGAAGTCCCCAAGGATTTGACAGTGGGTAGCTGATCAGGATTATCGGCCCTCATGCAGCACGTTAGAAGCAAAGACATCTGCGAAATCCCATCGCCCAGTGCGTGATGGAACCGAAAGATGGTGCCCTTGTGGGCTATCAACAGGTGTATTTCCCAAAGCGGCTTGTCGAAGCTGAGGGTCGACACCGCCAGCTCGGCGAGGTAGTCGTTGATCGCGTCCTCGTCGTTGACTCCGTTGACAACGGGTTCATGGCTGACGATGAAGTGTTGGCTGAGATCAACCTGGGTTGTTCTCCAGTGTTCGACGCCGCGAGAGTCTCTAACCATTAAGTTATTGAATCTGGGGAGTGTGAACATGACGGAGTTGCTAATCTCGGCCTTCACGGCGTCCACGTCAATTGGGTGTTTTTGGCCAATGACGTAGGTGATTATTTGGTTCATCTCTGGACTGAGGAATAGCTGGCCGGCCGGCGACAGTGACTCGTCCATCTTTGCAGCATCCATGAGAGAGAGACGGAGAGGGAGTGCGGTTTTGGTGTTTAGAGAGAACTTGCTCATCTTTAAGCAGACACCCACACTTACAGTGAGCTCCACACATTCTTCGGCCAAACAGTTCGGTTCGTTCATTTTGATATTGGAACTGTAACAACCACCTTGGTGTAATTTGTCTCCACTACTCCGACATAAAAAGCTGAGCGCTCAACCTATTTGGGTGGGAGCGAGAAACTTTGGTTTGGAGCCAAATTAAACATATGTAATTAAAATTTAAAGAATTTATAAATCAATTATATGTTTTTTATCACATTAGTATTGGTATATTTATGAAATAATATATATTTCGAAAAATATAAAAAAATGCAACTCAAATAAATAGAGGTGAATAATTGATATTGATAAGAACGAGTTACATATTGTCCGAGTCGTGTATGAGAGCCCGTGTTTGAGACCTTACACCCCCTCTCTCCCTATATTCACTAACCCCTAATACTGATATTGATAAGAAATGGATTGCTCGGGTATAAGAGCCCTTGTTTAAGACCTTACACCCTTTCTCCCCCTAAATTCACTAACCTCTAACACTGATATTGATAAGAAAATGATAACCTGCGTTTAAAAAGAGAAGTGGTAAAAAAAAAATAAAAAAAATAAAAAAAAAAAACATTGTTAAAACATTAATTTTTTTCTCAATAATTTTTTTAATTTTCTAATATTAAATTTAAATTTATAATTATTTTTCTTTTAAGTACTTTGGTTCCACTAAAAAAAAAGGTTACCTTAGTGAAATATTAATAAAAAATATACTTACCAAAAATATTTTAAAAAATGCCTGATGAAAAAATGCCTTACAAAAATAAAATATTAAAAAAGTATTTTAATAACTTATACGCTATAGAAAATTTGGAAGAAAGGATTTTTTGGATGAGGGTAATTTGGTCATTCTACATGGTCAAAGGGTAAATATATACTTTCATCATGTTTGGGGTGTCATTGTTTAAATTTGCAAACTTAGGGGGTGTCTTTGTTCAAAAAGAGACTAAGTTATATATGAGTGTTAATATGACAAATCTCAGGGAGTGTCGTTGTAATTTACCCTAAAATTTATTTATTAACGACTGACAACTAAAATATTAGCTTATATGATATCAATTTGTTATTGGCATTTTTGCGATCTTGCTAATGTAACACTTTAGTTTCCTTTTGCCAATGCACCAAAGATGCGCATATGGAGATTAGCATATAACTTAAGATAATTTGGTTCCACTAAAAAAAAGGTTACCTTAGTGAAATATTAATAAAAAAATATACTTACCAAATATATTTTAGAAAAATTATTAAAAAATGCCTGATGAAAATAAAATATTAAAAAAGTATTTTAATAACTTATACGCTATAGAATTTATTTCTTAACAACTGACAACTAAAATATTAGCTTATATGATATCAATTTGTTATTGGCATTTTTGCAATCTTGCTAATGTAACACTTTAGTTTCCTCTTGCCAATGCACCAAAGATGCGCATATGGAGATTAGCATATAATTTAAGATAATTTTTTTTGTAAACACAATCTAACAAAAATGTTTGATAAAAAAGGTACATAATAAATAAAAAAATAAATAAATAAATAAAAAATTCATTGACAAGAAATATATCCACACACTTAATGTTCTATGGGGACTTGAAATCCCGACCTTCTCCTCTGAAGGACTAGGAAGTATCATTAACTATGCCTCATTTGGTATATATTTTAATAAGGAGACGTTAGTGAGAGCCTGCAGACCCCAAACTTAGGGAAGTCTTTGTTCCAATTAGGGTCAGCCCTTAGATGGTGTAGGTGGCGCCACCGCAGAGGTCCCCCAATTTTGGAGGGCCCCCAAATTTTTTTGTGAGCCCATATATATAGTATATATAGTGTGAAAAATATTTTATTTATAAAATGAATTGCAGCTCAGTTGATGAAGGGTAAATACAACTTATTTTTAATACAGCTCACTTGTAACTTAATTTTTTATTATTTATAAACTTAGGCCCAATCTGAGTGAAGGAGAACACAGCCTAATCAAGATTCTTTTTAATGCAGCTCATGCAGTCCAATCAAGCCAGCCCACTCGTAACTTAATTTTTATTTTATAAACTTGGGCCCAATCTGAGTGGAGGAGAATATGAGGACATCTTTGGGTTTTTGTCTACTTAATACAAGTTAAACGCATTGGATGATGATGATATGAAGACTTGTTGCTTTCATCTTGAAAGCAATTTGAAAAATGACAATTTTTTTGATGTTGATAGGAATGATTTATTTGCGGAATTGAAACTATTACAAAAACATTTTACCAAAAGAAAAAATGAGAGCGACTGCAATATTAAATGTTTTGAAAAGAATGAATTGTTTTCCAAATGCATGGATTGCATATATAATATTATTGACTATTCATGTTACTGTTGCTTCTACAGAAAGAAGTTTTTCAAAATTGAAATTATTAATATCTTACTTGTGATCAACCAGGTCACAAAATAGATTGAATGGACTAGTAAGATCAAAACAGAGGTTTTATTATTTAGTAAATTACAGGGCATACGAAAATTTTCACTGATACAAAATGATTACAATATGCAGTATGTATTAATGAAACAAAATGAGTAAGAAAAGGAAAAGAAAATTCTAATGCGACCTAACAATGCAGCAATTGAGTGTCTCATGCACGCCTATATTCATCCCCACAGTCACCAATTACTCTTAGCAGATCTTTCCCTTTCTTTGAAACCTCTTGGATGCTATTTACATCCTCTTCATCAAGAACAAGTGAAAATACAGCACTGGATTCTTTGATATGTTCCGACAACCCAAGCCTAACCCCGATCATTGATCCTGCCACGGATGGCTGCAAACCCAAAACCATGTAGCAAAATACAAAAGTAAAAAAAGAGAAGCATTCAAATCTTCTATTCTATGTATTAATTTTTTACGTAAAAAATGACATCATTAGGTTAAGTGAAAGGGCTTTACCTGATCCAGGATGTATTTCACAGCAACTGTTGGGATTGAGACCCCATGTTTAGAAGCTACTTTTTTCAGAGTTTGCAGCAAAACCTGGAAGAGACTCCATCCTCCCCAAGCATCAACCATCTGCGACATTATTGCAAATTCACAAAAGGTTATCATCAAAACAAGAAAAATTAATTTAGAACTATGCTACGAAAAAGGTCACAAATTCCCTTCGTCCTTCCTGACATGTATAAGTATCAAACTTGAACTCTGCACCGAATATACATTATTAATTAATCGCATGTTAATGAATGATTTGCAGAAATTTTCACAAATCCCAAAAACATTCACGAAATAGTTAATTCTCTGAATGTTGACTAATGTTTCTCATGCTTTTATTGTCATCGTGTATTGCTTTAGCTTTGAGATCAAGTTTCAGACCATGCTTCCATCCTGTTTTCACACTATAGAATCAATTGCAGAATCGTATTCCTAAACTAGAGTTCCATTTTTTTTTTCCTGCCACGTCAGTTACATATAATTCATATTCCCATCATATCAACAATTTCCTCATTATGAATCTGCTGTTACAATTTTTTGGAGTATATATCAGAAAACAGTAGTTGTGTTAAGAGTATATACCCTTTTGTATTTCTGAAGGGAAGGAGTGTTTAGAGGAGGGCCAGCAAAGGGAATGGATAAGTTTGTGTCAAGGAACTTCTCAGACAATAATCCGCCCATTACAGTTCCATATCTGCATGCAAAACTATGTTAGATCTCGAAAGAGTGCACGAAACCATAACTTTGCAAAGGTTCAATGTCAACACGTTATTTTATACCAGAGGCTGTAAAATGGATCATCAATTTTGAACAATAGAAATGCAATCTATTGAACTCATTAGCCAGTTTAAGAGCAAAAAAGTTTTAACCGTAATAGAATTTGATCCCAGTAAAGATAAAATTAAGAACTGTTGTAAGCAGAACTATCCGGATTGGGCATTGATCATCAAGGAGGTGGATAATTGAATAGTGAGATATCAAAAGCAGCGCGCGCGCGCACGCACACACACACACGCAGAGAGAGAGAGAGAGAGAGAGAGAGAGACGTTATAAGTTTAACTCCTGTAAGCTGACAAAGCTCTGACATCTTTTGTTGAGGACGCATGTCAACAATTGAATGTTGTACCTGAAGAAACCCACAAGAAAATTCCCAGCAACTGAATACTCCATTTATGGAAATGCCAATTACAACAACAAAATATAGTTCCGTTACCTGATTGCTAACAACTGGAATTTCATTCTCCAGGATTATCTGTAACCTCTCCGTATCAAAGTTAGTCAAAGCGATGGTTTTAATCTTACCTGCATGCCATAAAATGAAGTAATTGAGGGTTATCAAGAAACCTGGGATTGAATATGATGGCTGAACGGCAATTGGAAATAAAATCAACCTTCTTCTTTGAGATCTGTAAGGTGCTTTAGTGCATCAAGGTAGCCAGAATTTGCATAGTCCCACCTGTTTCAAGTAGAAAAATGAAAGAAAGATTAGTAAGGAAAGGAAACATAGCTGTGCTTGGGTTCAAATCTTGTCTAACCAAAAAAAAAAAAAAGAGAGACAGTTACAGGATTAGAGAATATGATCCGGCCTAGAAATCACTGAAGGGTAAAAAGAGATTAAATTCCTTGAAGTTTGCCGCTAAGGGATTTTGGAGTTGCCTTCAGACTTTCAAATAAAATGATCAATTCATCTATTACATAGAATTGGCAACTTCATACATAAAAAATAAGCACTAAACAATAACAGAGATTTTTTAAACTCTTTGAGTGAACTGATCAAGGATTGAACTAAATTAAAAAAAAAAAAAACAAAAACAAAAACAAAATTTACTCAGCATTATTGAGGTATAGTGACTTACCCCACCCCAATAGGACAGGTCTAGGTAGGGAATAAACAGGGCAGAAGCAGGGCAATACCTGACCCAGCTTTAGGATGCATCGAAATAAGGGTGAACCCACCCTGTCCTACACTCCTTCCTCATTATATGTAGAATTCATAAAAATTGTTCCAGATCTTTAAGAATTCACTAATCATTCTCTTTATGTACAGGCTATAATTCATTACTCTGTCATCCATTTGCTGACTATTTTCTTCTACGCCAGAGAGGCTCATCACCATTTCTCACTTATTATTGGACACGTGCTGAGATAAAAATACCTCTCCGTCTCTCATTGTTCCACACACACCAACAAGAAAGCACTTCAATCTGAGGCCTTTGTGTTCTAGCACCTATAAAGATGGTAAGGATTTTGATTTAGCTAGGATTCAGATCGATCTCAAGAAGAGTTCAAAGTTTTCTTTGAGCTCAATAAGGTATTGATAATTCAATTCTCACAGAAATCCAGAATGTGTTTATGGAGAGGGCTTAGAGAATGGACTTGGGGTCGAGGATGTGGTAAAATTGAGAAACTCATCTTGGTTTGGGGCAGAGAGACCAGACACTGCCATCTCTGTGCACTGGGGTTTGAGCACACACGTTACATATCTTGCATAAGAAACTGTCTTAGCAAGTTGTGAGAATCTCCCCTTTACCACAAAAAACATAAGCGAGAAGAAATTTAATACCAATGAAATTGAAGCATGTCCAAGGATGCAACATCCATCCTCTTCAGTGAAACATTGATGTTCCCACGGACATAGCTACTTGTCATCTTAACAGGTGGTGGAACCCATTTAGTAAGGCTGCAGTACACAAAACAAACAGTAAGACCAATTATTCGGACAAATCACCAGTCTCCATGCTAACAAAAATTCTCATCATATATTTTCCTTGTGCATGTTACAATGAGCCAGAGGTTCTAGTTTCCTAATCATGTGAACTAAGATGCATTATAAACTAGTTTTCTGTCCAAAAGAACCAGAAACAAACAACAAATAGCCAATGAAGCACCATCTCAACATCAAAGTCTCTGTGAGTGTAATTTACCCTCTGACGTTTTCCAATAACTCTGGTGAGCGTTCTCTACGGACTCGATTAATGAAGATTCCATAAAGATCTTCTGCAGGCCCATCTGTGAAATCAAACTAATCAATGAAGGTCACTCATGATAGGCAGAAAAAAGTTGTAGTAAAAACTGAAAATGATTAACAGAGAAAATTTAAATGCAAGGGTGTGCAGAGTACGCTAAAACTGTCCCTCAATATTACTCTCTTTAGATTCACCTTAAAAACAAATTATGTTGTAGCGATGTATTAGCAAAATAAGCAATGACAATAAAATCTTTTTAACAAAGTTGAGAACATGCTATAACCACGTGTTCTTGATCACATATATAGACTAGTAATTAAGTCATATCCCTGAGGTGCCTCAATGCCTTACATATATCAGCCATATCAAAAGTAGTGAGCCCAGAATCAGCATATCGAAGCATAGCATCAACTGCATTGTCCTGGTCAATTCTTCCCCAACCACCACTTGTCTGCCACATCCCGTTAACAACTCGGCAGATGTTCAATGAATCTTTTCCATTCTTAACAACAGTCCACCGTTTATCTTCAGTTACCGCATATCGGATTGGTCTTAAATGCAGTTTTTGTATCATAGTCCCCCTTTCAGATTTTATTTTGATTGAATTGAGGGTAAATTTGCTAAAAAATTGGTTCAGGAACTCTGCCATTGAGAGATGGAAGAGCTAGAATATAGATAGAGAGAGAGAGAGAGAAAGAGAGAGAGAAGGGAAATTAAGTCCTATAGGCTAGTATGTATGCATATGTAGATATATAGAGAGAGAGCTTAAGTCCTCAAGGGTGGGTTGTTACACACTTATGTTATGAACAAATAGCAGAAAGAAAAATAGTGACTGGTCCAGTTTAGAAGCAGTTTTATCCTATCTGCTTCCAATTCCGTGTCTCAGCCCACCACCATTTTCTTTCTTTTATTACTGTATTATTATTTGAGAATCTTGTTTAAATGCATCTTGTGTTTTTGTATCCTTGTGGTACCAAACTTCAGCTTGACTAAAATACCCTAAAGGGTTGTTACACACCTGTGTTATTGAACAAATAGTAGAAAGAAAAATAGTGACTGGTCGAGTTTAGAAGCAGTTTTATCCTATCTGCTTCCAATTCCGTGTCTCAGCCCACCACCATTTTCTTTCTTTTATTACTGTATTATTATTTGAGAATCTTGTTTAAATGCATCATGTGTTTTCGTATCCTTGTGGTACCAAACTTCAGCTTGACTAAAATACCCTAAAGGGTTGTTACACACTTGTGTTATTGAACAAATAGTAGAAAGAAAAATAGTGACTGGTCCAGTTTAGAAGCAGTTTTATCCTATCTGCTTCCAATTCCGTGTCTCAGCCCACCACCATTTTCTTTCTTTTATTACTGTATTATTATTTGAGAATCTTGTTTAAATGCATCAAGTGTTGTTGTATCCTTGTGTACCAAACTTCAGCTTGACTAAAATACCCTAGTCAATAAATTTTGTTATACTGTTTTTTTCTTTTTCCCAACTTCCAACATTCAATTTTTACACTTCAAGTTCACTTGTTTTTTCTTTTTATAAGAAAAGAAGGAAATTATACCATTGCATATTAGGGGTTAGTTATTAGAGGGGGAAGGGGAGCGTGCAAAGCTGGAACACTGGCTCCAAGGGGAATCCAAGGGGAGCAACCCAATTGCTACAATTGGAAACATTGACGTCTCACTCCATAATTATTAAAAAAAGGAGAAAAATAAAATAAAATAAAAAAACTCCAATGCACACTTAATTTTTAAAGGTAATTTGAAATTTCATTCACTAAAAAAATTAGAGCGCCTGTGGAGAAATGTGGAGTGGCAATATCAAATTCAGAAGAAAAGCAAATAATTAGGGTTTATACAAAAAGAGAAGTATTGAATTTACAGTGATCGGCCATGTCGAAGGTGGAGAGACCGGCGTCGACATAGCGGAGCATGGCCTCGACGGCGTCGTCTCGGTCGATTCTGCCCCACCCGCCACTGGTCTGCCACATCCCGTTCAGAACTCTGCAGATATCGAGCGAATCTTTCCCGTTTTTCACAGTGACTCGCCGGCTCTCGCCGACTGCCACCTCGCACCGGACCTGACTAGCGACGAGTCTCCGCGACTGGGGACTGATCCGAGTTTTGGTCTTTTTTAAGTGATTGAGAGTGCAAAAGGCATGATGGTGTAGGGTCGCTGCCATTTTTATGTTTGATGAAGTAACGGTGAGCTAGAACCACCGGAGAGAGAAGAGGATAAGGTCACCCAATATCTACTCCATTTGGCGCCCTGGTTGGTTATAATTTATATATTTATGTAAGTGTACGTATTATATGTAATTGAGTTGCTTGATTGACGGTTGTAACCCTGTTAGTCATAATTTTGCTAAACTCAATTAGGGTCAGACAATTATTAATAAATGAAAAAAAATGGTTTATAGTGGCTCCAAGAAGGTTCCAATTTTACTTCAATAGCGTTAAAATAATAAATAAATAAATAAATAAAAATTTACTTCAAAATAATTCTTTTAACATTTATTACATGATTTCACACAAAGATTTTTTAAAAGATTAATGCTAATACGGTCATTAGGGTATTATCTTTTCCAAAAGAGTGTACCCGAGTCCTAGTTTAAAAAAAAAATCCTTTTTATAAACTCTCTTTTAAATTGTCATATTTTTTATAACAAAAATAATACATAAATTATATCTTCACCTTAAAGTGATCTCAGAGTTAAATTTTTTTGTTATATATATATATATATATATATATATATATATATATATATATATATTTATAACTTTGACTGAATCATGTGACTCACTATAAATGAATTTTGATACGAAATTTTAATTACATAATCTTTCAATAAATAACTCATAAGAAATGCCATTATAACATTACTTAAGTATGGTGATAACATTACTCAGGAACTTCAGGAAAAAAGAATATATATATATTCATGTCGACAAATCCTGAAAAATCAACCACATATCTTAAAAACTTTTTGCTAAGAAACAAACATGAATAAAGTTTTTTTTTTTTTTAATGGAAGTTCTCTATGGTTATTAAATGCGTTGTCACGTACAATGTCAAATGAAAAATACCTTTCTAAGAATCAATGTGAAATTTTGAAGAAGCGTCTCAGCTGATTAGGACCATGATGTTAATAAAAATGTGACCCATACCGGGGTAACCTTGGCTAGTGATACATGCATGTGCCTATATATATATATGATGGCCCATTCATTTTCTATCCCCAGTCGATGTGGGATGAGCCCAGAGGAATTTGAAAGAAATTTAAGTGCCTAGGGGAACAAAGTGAGTTGATGTCAGCAAGATGATTTTAATAAGAAGTAGATAACGGATGAAACAGCTAGTTTATTTGATCGAACAAATATATGGAAAACTTTCATATATTCAAAAGGTGAAAAATTGTAATCAATTCTAAGACAACATCGAGCCTAGTTTATCCTACACAAGTTCAGCTACTGATACTCCATGCTCCTCTAAAGACCATGCCTAAAACACAAATATAAGAAATAATCCCCTAAGATGGTATTCCGCAGGAATATGGTATGTTCAGAATGTTCTTGAAAAGCGAAAAAAAAAAAATAATTGCTAAGCATTTAACCCATAAGATGCAAATGTCATGCAACAGGGTGTTGCAACATCTTTGGTAGAACTCCATCACTGTCATTTATGAGGATCCATCATCAATGTTGTCTGTCATCATCATAATAACAACAACAATCATTATCATAATACCAATATATTTTTATAAAGAAGTTTCAGGTTTCCACTTTTAGGAGTGAGTATGCAAGCGAGCAACAAGCGCTACACAGACGTTCATAACAAAGTGAAAACATGCAGCTGGGCAAATGAAGTTGTCCGCCAGAAGAACAAAGCTAAATATGGTTTCAGTTTGGATCATTTCCATATGCACAACACTACATCCTTGTGAACTCTCTCATACACCAGGAGGATACGACAGCAGTTAACCTCTATTCTGCTGCTTGTCCTTAAGTCTGATAATCTTTCGCTCCATCTGCAAGTGTCCCGTGGAATAAATTAGCTAAAACAAGTGGATGAACTTCCGTAAGCATTGAGAATAATGTTAGCTACGTAACAGGGACTATTGCACAACATTAATATATCTATATATATAAGCAGCTGATTCATTCCAGCAGGTATTGAAGCTGTAAATTTAAGTATCAGGATCCACAAGATTAACTTAATCTATAACCTAAAGGGTTGAGAGGGATGCACAAGTTTAAACTTGAGCAATTACTTTCTGGCACATTATTTTCAAATTTTATTTCATACAATAATCAGATCACACCCTGTGGATGGAGCCAGGAAAATTCTCAACTTCTTCAAACGTGAACAGTTTGGTTGTTATTTTCTTTGTTTGACCTATTTATAATTTTATATGGTAACTTCCATCCCCGTGCATGTGCATCATAAGTGACCCACCCATGAAATTTAAACAGCGTTAATGTCATCATATAAATTATCGTTTAACCTCAAATAAGTTCCATTTGGAGGGCCATTGTTTGGTTCAGCAATAAGATGCTCGACCATTGGATCCACTGGCTCTAGTTCAAGCCCCTATAGCAGGCACTGAAAGAATATTAAATATTCGGTTTCTTTCGATTTATCCCTCCACAGAATCCTGTCACGGTAAGACTAGCGCTAGGTAATATTCCAATAATAAGTTCCATTTAGTACAGGAAATAACCACACATGGTGGAAGAGTTAATAAAACCCCATTATCTTATCATTATATAAACCACCGACCAGTACACATCAACTAAAAAAAAAAAAAGAAAGGTTTATTTTTTATTTTTTATTTTCTGTTGAGGACCCAATTTTCTTCATTTTCAACAATCCATCCTTAACTCACTCTCTTCTTTGAGATTCTAGTCCTTATCAAACAAGAGGCTGCAGCTTGGTCTTTTTACTTCTAAACTCTGTTAGATACTGTCCAAACAAAAATGGCCTTCCTTCTAAAGTATAACCCACTTAATAGTGGCAGTTTTACCACTAGGCAATTTAATCAAAATCTAGAGTCCCACTTGGAAAAGGCCAATCATATTTCAATTAATCCCATTGCAGATTTTCTATATAATATATTCTACAATTCCTTGACGTGGACCCATAAAAATTTTAAATTTAAAAAATAAAATACTACTTCAATTGCATCCCTTTTCTCATACCTTTCCTTGTAATTCTAAAATTCATCAAACTTGTTATTATCTTTTATTCTTCTAAACTTTTTACTTACCCTGTGTCTATTGTTGTGGAAAATTTAAAAGTGAGTTTTGTAGTTGAAAATTCATCAAATTATCAAAAGGAACCAGATGAAATAAGCCTAAGAATGAAAAAATAATTGGGTAATAGCAATGCTAATTTCACCCCCGGCAACCACATCATTTTTCAACTATTTTTTAAAAACATAGCTGAAACGGTAAGACTGGCATACATTATCTGAACTTTTCAAGGTTTGCTGTTTTTTGCCAAAAATTTCATGGGACCTTAGAAATTCAGTTGGAAGCTCAAAAACTTCGCCTTGGACATCGAGTTGTATTTAGCTGGCCTGCCAATTAACAGGGGGTCATTTATGTAAAAATCATTTGATTAAATAAACATAAACTTCACTGATTGTGGCCCTATCCAAGGGACTTGTCTACATGATGCCTTAGCCAACTCGCCACGCTTGGGGGTGGTCCAAAGCGCTAAGAGCAGACATCACCAAGCCTAAGCGCCTAGGTAACTTGAGTGTCCCAGTACTTCAACTAAATTGGTCAGTTGTACTAATAGCTCTACAACATTTTCTTTCATAAGACACAAAAATGTTGAGAAATAAAGTTTAACACATTATAAACAACAAAAGAAGAACATCCAGCAGAAGGAACCCTCTCTCCTCCTTGCGCATAAACCATATTTCAGAAATCTACTGTCCAAACACTTCTTAGACTTGAGTGAGTCCATAAGTAAAAAAATAAATAAATAAATAAAAAATCTTAATTTGGAGACATTTCAGAGAAGTGGCTGATACTTATTGAATGCTTGAGATATGACTTTCTTTCGGCGTGAAAAAAGCAATTTGTAAAGAAAAATTAAACTAATTTCTAAATAAAAATAAAATAAAGGTTTATACAAATCTTATTAAAAAGTTCGACCACGTATTCTTTATAGCAAAATTTGATAAAAGAAGGTTTTATTAAAGAAGTGGATGTGGACTTGTGAGACTAAAACTCGTCATAGCTGTGTATCTGTGCAAAAACTTATACGTACATACATAAACATATGCATGCACATATATACCCTTGTTAAGTCATTGTCCATGAGACATGATTAAATTTCATGTACAGTCCCAAAATATTAGATTAATTTAGCATAAAGTAATTTTTCCATATATAATACAATTCTACATAAAAGTATGATAGTATATTGCTATATCCATCATGACCAAGTTTAGTGTCGGTGTTCATGCTTCATATAGTAAGACTAAATTTGTTGTTTTAAGTACCTGAGCAAAGGTTTCCAACTCTTTCCGAGTTTCTGAAAATTCTTTCCTCAACCAACTTATCGCTTGGGAGAATCTGAAATGATGATATTTCCCACAAAAGAAGAAAACCGAATATATTTTAAAAGTGTAAAGAGTTGCATACAAAGAAGTATAATTATGAAAGAAGAGAATAGAGAAGAAAATAATGGCATGTTCTTGTAAAATAAAAGGCAAATACTTGATTCATGTAAGATCTGGATAACATTGTAAAATCAGAAGTGAAAAAAAAGAAGAAAAAATATATGAATAAGAAACACGTGATGGAAACAATGATATATTCTTTGACATGGTGGACGGGATCCATCAGGAATCAAAATGTGTGTTCTTTGAGATCTGCAAAGGCAACATGACTTAAATATATATTATATTAGCCAAATTCAAACTGAAATTTAAATTATAAACCCCGCCAACCTTGTTAGACATCACATGTAAATTTCTGATTGGTTTGATCTACAGTGTCAACACAATGATGTAGTCAAACTGGAACATAGAATAGTGTCCCTTTAAAACTAGATCCACAGAGATTAAAATGAATACAGATGGTATTGTATCCACATAGCTATAATGGAATCGGTCAAAAGTTGATTTGCAAAACTATTTATTACAAGAAAATCGAATTTATTAGGAGTTAGTGTCATTTTATTTTGGCAATTTTAGTGTCAAAAAAGCTTTGAGCCCAAATTTTCCGTTTAATTTAAGTCATTAGTAATTTGAAGTTTGTTCGTAAGAGGAGCAAATGGTTGTAGGTCATCAAAGTAGAAGACATTTATAGGACCATGTACGTTTCCATATCTCACACAACAAGATCATGATAAAATTTGCAGTTAGATGACTTGACCCTCAAATATTTTGTTTGGGAATGTTCGTATATGTTTTTAAAATTTCTGAATTTGTTTTACAAATAGTTTAAAATGTTTTTGAGCAAGTTAAAAAAAAAAATGTTTCTGAGATTAACTACATATTGCCAATCATTACTCAAAAAGAAATGAACAACTATGAAAAGCCAACCAAGCAAAAGTGGGAGTTGGTAAAGGGAAAAACAAAATATTGCTCCAGTCCAGATCCCAAAAGAATACTTATTAATTCTTCACAATAGTGGTTTTTATATTTGGACCAGTAATTCTGATTCATGGACCAAAGTGTAGAACCACACAGTTATAAAATTATAAAGATAATAAAATTTGACTGAAAAAGAAGTGAAAAAAAAAAAAAAAAAAAAAAAAAAAAAAAATTTATTCAACTCAATAATTTGTGGGCCTTTGGATTAATTAAGTTTAGATCTTTAAATTATCCTCCATTACCATTACTATGGGCGGCAGCTAGGTTATCAAAGTTGTTCTTAAAAAAAGGGGAAAAGGACCAGTTAACAGTTCAACACTCTTAATTTCAGTCCAACAGTATATGTGGACAAGGACAAGGTTCATGCAGGTCATTTAGTTCATAAGTTATTAGCAACTTTTTGAAATCACAAGAGTCTATGGAGTACTATGATTAACTAATATCGAAAGAAAATTATTAAAAAGAAAGAGAAAAAAAAAAAAAAAAAAAAAGTATGATTGCTAATTGTGTGAGAGAAGTCTTTTCTTACTTTCTCATATGACTCTGCTCACAAGCACGAAGAGATCACCGCATGCGAGTCTCACATGCTCAGCACCAAAACTGTAAAATCATATAAGAAATTAAGATCGAATACTTAATCACTAAATGATGAGAGAAAGAGAGGGGGGGGGGGGGTGTGGGGGGAAGAAGAGAAGAGATTATGCTTTCACCTGACTCCATGGTGCAAATGTACAATACATGCAATTTCCTATTTGGCACCACAATTTATGATTACGATGGACAAAAAGCAATTCAGTATAATACTAATATACCATGTAAAGGAGGGTGAGCCATGGCACAACGTCAAGGTTGCTCCATTGTGACCTGCAGGTCACGGGTTCGAAACAAGGAAACAACCTCTCCACATGTGAAGGTAGGGCTTACATCTATCCCTTCCCAGACCCCACAATGGTGGGAGCCTCATGCACTGGGTTTGCCCTTTACTAATATACCATGTAAAGCAGGTAAAACATAGATGAACAATTCATATAGACACAATGAAAGAGAACAATGAAGTGTAATACTAATTTATCGTGTAAACTGGGTAAACTTTAGATCAACCGTTCATCTAGACACAATGAAAGATAATCTTGCAGATCACCTAATTCCTTCATGACCCTTACTAAAAGTAATATTAGTAATCAGCAAGGCATGGTTCCTGTCTTAAATGAACAAACAGTTGACCATTTAGAAAGAAATCTGTTACCTTGACTAAAATGAACAAATAATTAGCTTGAAAAAGGCAACTTGATTAAAATGGAGGGAAAAAATTTAAGTTTGAATCAGCAAAGCTGCAACTTCAGGACTTCTTGACCCTGCCAAACTAATGGCACATGGATTATGCACATATTTAGACTCTGATGGTCCGATTACCTTTTAAACGATATTTGAACTTGTGAGTATATTATATCTTTAAGACAGTTCAGAACTTCCTTTTTTTAAAAAAGACCAACCTATCTGCATTTTTATCATGTGCATAGGCCCCATTCTCAAGCCCAATACCATACTAACGGCACGTGGTTCATGCACACATTTACACTCTGATGGTCCAATTACCTTTCAAACAATATTTGAACTTGTGAGTATATGCATATCTTTAAGACAGTCCAGAACTTCCTTTTTTTAAACACCAACCTATCTGCATTTATATCACGCGTAACTTTCATCTTTTACACATGGAAACTAAGAGAATGTTCAAATTTCTTCATTTATTGGACCTGACAGAAATTCCATTGAAGTTATCTCATGGATACCCCAAGCAAGAAAAGATACGGCTAATTACCATAAGCTTTTTTCCTCTACTTTGCGAGCCTGTGCAGCCAACTTAGAGAAATCAACATCAGGAAGTTTACTGCAGAATAAACAAAACAGAACCAAAAAAAACCTAAGTACATATCAAAACCAGTAACTTTTTAAACGAAACTTCAAGTTTTGAAGGTACATGCAGCTTTCCAGTTCTGATAAGATTGCATCCACTTCAACACAGTATGCATCAATCAACTGCACGACAAGATCATGGTTACCTGCACTATTCAAAGCCTGAATTTGAGAGAACTGGTCATTTATGATCCCCTGCAAAGAAAATATAAAGACTTTAACTCAAAACCTGAGAATTCTCTTTCAAACAGTATTCAATTAAGAGAGAAGTACAGAACATTCAAAAACACAAGTTCTAATTTAGAAGTTAGTATCTAGTCCATGTCACAAATATATACTTCCAAGCAATATAAAGAAAAATACAGAACAAACAATTCTATTTTCACAACCAAAAAACAAATGTTTCAACAAGATAAAATAGCATTCCACCAATCCAATGCCCAAAAATAATAGCATTCCACTTACCCAGTTCCCACAAAATCATATGTACACAACAAGAACATCCCACATAGCATTCAACAATTTAAGAGCTAAGGAGACGATTTGCAACAAGAATTTCAAAGAACAAAGTCTAAGACCATTTAGAAAAAATTCTGTTACCTCATTGAACAATGACTTCTCATATTCTTGCAGTAGTTCTTTAAGAATAGACAAAGCCATTTCTCATACAAAACACTAACAAAACCCTAAGCAACTTATACCAGAAAAGAGCACTGAGTTACAGTGAGAGGAGAATTCTGCATCCACTTACCACCTCAAGTACAGGCAAAATGAGAAGCAGACAGATTTGTGTCAGTCTGCCAGCAAATGGTATAGTGCCAAATACATATAAAGCCTATGATTTCTAAATTAACATAAATGCCATTGTCATTAAAGATAACATGACAAAGGAAAAACAATATATTTCTTAATAACTTTTTAATATCAAGCAACTAGATCAATGAAAATGTATGCACAAAGGTCCCTAAAATATGAGTAAAATCAATAAATAGACAAATTTTCAAAAAGAATAAATATATACATATATATCAGTGCCATTTTAGAAAAATTGTATTATTGATAACAAACGCTAAAACAAGGTATAAAATGTTGGAAGAAGTCAAAAAACAGATATATGAGTTTTCAAAATATAGATATGTGGATGGATATATCACATATATTGTGACTATTTATTCCATGCAAGTGAAGGTGATTGTAATATTGATTTGTAAGGGTCAGTTGCATCAGTGATCAATAAAGAGAAAGCAAATTAGTTAACTAAGTTGTTGAATGATAAGAACAACAGTTGATCATTACATACCATTTAAAATTTAAGACAGTTGAATGCTATCCTTGTATATTAAAAACTATAGTTTCATGAGGATTCTGATGGCATAATAGCAAATGTGACTACGCATCACTTACCACACAAATAAATTAAAAAGTGATTTTAATACCTAAAGCATAATGTGTCTGTAAAATATTTAATGTTTCTCATACAATGAAATAAAAGATTGGGATAAGATAGAATTATTTCCCCTATTTGGAATTTAATAAGTTTAGCAACAAAAAAAAATTGTAAATAATGGAACTTGAATTCTACACCCAGACGAGTGGGTCCACACCACTCCTTACATGAGAGAATAACAGTTGCAGAACCCAATACACGCTTTTATTGAAGCTGTAATGGTCTAGTGAGGTCCATACCAATGGTGCACTTACAGAACGCCACAACCATTAAGTAAGCATCAACCTACTTATCTGGCAGTAATGACAAATGAAAAGTTGGCCAAATTATAATAGCTGTCATTGTAAGAAAATAGGAAGGAGAAGATAAACATTAGATGCTTAATTAACCAAAATAGAAACAACACCATCACAGTTCCAACTTCCAATATAGAGTTTTCAAACAGCATTATGCCAAAACCAAGGCCTAGTCTTTCCACACAGCCAGTCCCAGACCCTGGCCCAGTCTTTCCACACAACCAGTCCCAGACCCTGAAAAAGGAACTGGCCGGCTTTGGTTGCCAACCATGGTGAAGTCTCAACACGTTACACAGTCCCCATGAAGAAAACTACAATAGAATACTTTTCTCTTTTCTTTTTTGTTTTTTGATAAGTTACAATAGAATAATTTTTTGCGGCAAAAAAAAAAAATTTATTTTTTGGAAAGCTATTTGCGGTGAAACATTGAAACTCCTTACATGTTCTCTTTCTTCTAAGGGAGAAATGAAATTCTGAGAAAATTCAGACTTCTTAGAACTATAATATACTACATTGGTCTTTTTACAGAATAAGTTCAGAAATATATCAAACTAAATTTTTGGACCATGGACAAGTATTCGGTATTGCAATTTTAAGTTTGAAGGTCCTTAAGCAATTAAAATTTCAAAGCTCCAAAATAAAATAAAAATAAAAATAAATAAAAATTACAGAAACCTTTTTCCTATTGTTTTGTTTGGCAGTACATAATATACACACACCCACTATTTGCTCCTATCAAATCATGTACTTTAGATGTATAAATAATGAATCTATCCTAAAATTATCATATAGATGCCTTTTTCTTAGAAATTTCAATCCATTGTTCAGATTCCATCATCATCATCCTTGCCTTTATCCCATGGAGACGGGGTCTTAAAAATATTTCTTAGAAATTTATCCCATTGTTTAAATTATATGCTGATATTTTAATTGATATAAGGAAAACTAAAAATAGATAGATATTATTGTTTCAATACAATGATACTCAAGAGAGCTATAAAGTGAAGAGAATTGTCTTAATTTAGAAAAAGATAACATCAGAATGTAATCATTCTCCAAACATCTCAGCACGCTGTCAATGCCATTATCTTAACTAATGTTACCTAAATCACTATTTCTGGTACAAAAAGAGAAAAAGAATACAATATTGTCATTTGCTTTGGACAGGCATGTCCCTCACACACTCCAATCTCCAAATCTCCTGTTTAAATTGATGATTTATCAAATTTTGCAACATATGGAGTTCTTGCCACTCTTACGCAGGGCAATCTGACTAGATTGATCAGTTAGAATTTTTGCTATTCGAATAAACTGCCACTCCTCCTCACTAAATATTTGTTCAGAATGCTTATGTAAATTTGAAGAACGTGTAAATTATGGTAGTACCAGGAGCCTACTCAGGCTTCATAAATTGAGTATCAATCTTCTTGTACGAAAAACAATTAAAATAGGCAGCAAATGGAAGGGGCAAGTCCAACAAATTGGGCAGGCAATGAATCATCACGAACAGTGAAGGGCTAAATTACAAGGTCTTCGAGGCTTACTAACTATTGGAGCGCAGGTGCAGAAACAAGTACTCACCCTAATTTAGTCAAGAGCCAAAGATATTCTTAAAACCTTTACAAGTAAGATAATAGAGCAACATTTATCTAAATCCCTACTATTAATCACCGAAAAAAGAAGAAAAAAAAATCTCAATACCCTGCTATTAATCATCGAAAAAAGAAATAAAATCTCAATATCATTCACTTCAGAGTACCAGGTCACAAATGTTTCAGAATTTTGTACATTTGGCTCTGAGATCCACTAACATCGAAGGATTAGATTTTAGATCACCCCCCCTTAACACAATATTTGTTCTATTAGGAATTTTCATTTCTTATTTTCTTTTGTACTTCTTTTTCTTTCCAATATTCCTCCACTTTTCTTTCTCTCTTGTTCTTAAAAACATGATGTAAATGACATCGAGAACTCCAACAAGCAGCTATACTATTAATGATAGTAATACCTTTGACAATGACATATGCTCGTGACCTTCAATGGAAAGCTATGGACGATGACATCCTATTATAAATGCAAAACAATAACATCAAGAAAGACAATTAGGAAATAAGCTTTTCCCCTTCTTTCAGTTTATCTGAAAGTCCTCTTTCTCAATCAAAGAAAGATAAAGTTCATGTCAAGTATTGAAAATTTGAGTGCTGAGAAGAACAAGGAATGATAATATATCAGTATCAGAGAAAATACTTGACATGAACTTTATCTTTGAAACTCCACCACAATGGTAGATTGCTTGGATTACATCAGACTGGGGCTGCCTAGCACTAGTGTGATTGCCCACACAACAATCTCTGGCGCTTCCTTCATTTCTTGTATTTGACTAAATTCAATATAAACAATTCCCTGCAACATATGAGAACTAATCACATAACCAAAATCTCAGCACTCCATTCCAATAGTATTCCAACATGAAATAAGTCCTCCTAACTAAACAAAGTCATGAAATTTTAACCCGTTTGTAACTTACAACTTAGGAAGAAGACAAGAAATTCCAGTTGTGAATGTTATATTTTCCGTAATGTAGAATCCAAAATAACAGAAAAAATATAGTTGGAATTTAACTTTCTCCTTTTTTTTCTCTCTCTCTTTTCGCTATTGAGCAACCAAACAGGTTGGGAACTGATCTAAATTGAAAATGTGTTCAAACGAGAAAGATAGCAGAGTGTCTGAAAAATAAAAGGATATATCCTTGGTTCTGAAAATTCTAAACCGAAATATATCAAAGAAAATTTAAAGAAAAAATGTTGGATTAATATCAACAAATGAATCCCCCTGAAACATCAGCATGAAAACAGCCAAAATGGAGTTAGGAAATCAGAAAACATTTTATGGATTACATGAACGAAATTGAGTAAAATAGGAAGTCATTTTCATGAAAATGAAAATAAATCATAAATTTGAACCTAATATTTTTCTTTATTCAGGACTGGAGAAAGCAAAAGCCTCTGGCCAGCATAACATGATACAAATACTTGGCTTTATCACACTCTAAGAAGCACGGACACTTCAATGAGGTGCCATGTACATGTCGGACACTGACACTCCTAGACACGTGTCTGACACCTCATGACCGTGTCCATTATTTAAAAATAAATTTAGTTATTTCAGGCACTTGGTGAACACATCTTGGACACTTGTTCGACACATCTCGAACACTTAGTCAACAAATTCCGGACACTCAACCAACACATCGTACAGTTTTTGTCTTATATAAAATAAATACGTTCTGGAAACAACATTATGAACATACGTCAAAGTGTTCAACCTTTAAGGAACAAAAACAAAACTAAAGGACAAGATAGGATAGTAATATCATAGATATAATATATCCTTTTTGATATTCGAATAACGTCATCTTCTAACTTATCTAACTTTAGTAGATAATTTATAAATTAATTAAAGTTCTATGATTGTCTCATTCAATAGATATATAAATGAAATTTATATTTATATTAGCCATGTCCACGGTGTGTCCGTGTCCTACGTTTTTTAGAATTTGATGTGTCGGCGTATTCATGTTGTATCATGTCAGTGTCCCATGTCTGTATCCGTGCTTCTTAGATAAAGAAACATGCAAATCAGAAAGTAAAAATATCATGGACTGACTGGTACAACTCTAACTATATTATATTTCATTTAAATTGTCAACAAAACCCCCCAATTGATTTAAGAAAGCATTTTATCAAGTACACAAATGAAATTCAAGCAAAATGGAGTGCTCCATTAGGAAAATGACAAGAATGCATCTTAGACTTTCATAGAAAACAGAAAACTCTCATCAGCTGACTATGATACAACTACTTGGCATGGTTTGAATTTGCTAGTCAATGGAAACCAAAAATACCATGTCTTAAACAGCAACCGCTTACTTTCTATCCCTCATGCAAAGGAACACTGAGGAGTGAGGTAGGAACTGATCCAAACATCAACTGACAAAAAAACATAGCAATGAGGAGGAAAAAAATAATGACAATGGACTGTTCTGAAAAATCAATTAAAAGAAGTATATATTATGTTTCAAATAATGTAAACCAACATAAACAGAAAGAACTAAAGAAGAAGAAGTTATGTCACGACCAAATGCCAATAAACTTGTAATATGACGCACTTTATTTTTTATTTTTTTCTTATTCATTAATAAACTAGAGGGTTAGGGCGTGATATAAACATCAGACCTAGAAACACGCTTAAACAATAATCAAAACGAAGTTTTTTTCCAATAAATAAAAAATCAACTAACTTATCCTCTCATTTATAGAAACAATAACAACAGAAATCAAAAAAAATAACAAAAGAAATCAGAGAAATCATGAAAATCAAAGGGTTGTGTGATCTTCAACAGATGGATACCACCAAATGATTTCACAGAAGTTGCCAAAAAAAACTGTTCCAAAGTATATACTGGCTTTGGAAGACAAGAAAAATAAAAGAACTAGGGGGTGAAATACCAAACACATCAGGAAAGTGTTATTTCCAGCAAATTCAAAAATAAAATCATAAATTCTCTGAACAAGAATCATAGCGAAGAAGAAAGAATAGGTTATACCTCATTCTAAATGTTCTGAATTAAACGACGACAGTGTTCTTTCTGGATTGCCAATGCCATTTTCCACAGAGGGAGACGGAGGGAGTTTTAACCAATGCAGATGAGAAACAATATATATTTACACAGAGAGAAACATATAGACATGTAGAGAGAGTATGCAGTATGCATGGAGCGGATGAGTAATATAGAAGGGGTTTATACATACATATACACACACACACATACATACATATATACACATGGGGTTTATTGGAAGCGGAAAGGTTCGGTGAATGTTGATTGGGCAGTGCTTGGTAAAGCAGGAGAAATAAGAAAACAAAGTATACTACGTAGTAATTTGCAAAAAAGTATAAAATCCCCGACACATTCGATTTGGTACAAATAATCCTTGAAACTTAAAATGACTGTAATACTTTTTAAGTCAATTAATATGTGAAAATGTAGGCCATGTAAAATGGCTGTTTTGCCCATTTTGTCCCTTTAGCATGTGTTGGCTGTCAGTGGTGGTTTGTTTAAATTAAAAAAGGTAATTTAGACAAACCTATCCTATAATTTGCCATAATTACACGGACATCTCCTCTGATTTGAAAATTTTCTAAGACTTTCCGTGACAATGAAAATATCCTACATGGACCTTCCTTCTGTTAGAGTCAACGTCAGTCAAGGACGGAATGTGCTGACATGTACAAAATTTATTAAAATTCTTATAATACCCTTGTCCCTACCAATTGATATATATATGTGTGTGTGTGTGTACGCCACCGGTGTGTAACCCGTATCCACAACCCCTGTTGTTGGTATATATTTATATATATATATATATGTACGCCACCAGTGTGTAACCATATCCACAACCCCTGTTGTTGGTATATATATATATATATATATATATATATATATATATGTACGCCACCAGTGTATAACTCGTATCCACAACCCCTGTTGTTGGTGTCGGTAGCCATACAATTCCAATACCTTCCATGTATGCCACCATCTTCGATACTTAAAGCGACAGTGTAAGTGGCGCAGCAACCAAAGGTGGCATAACACTGTACATCGTGTGGTCCCGATAAAATTCCGGTGGCATCCTCTGCACCGCGTAGTATCCCTGACTGATTGGATCAATCACCAGCCTTGCAATCGGCGTGTGACCTGCTCAGAGCTGGAATCATGTATACAGGTTAATCTGTTCCAATCGTAGTCACCGTAAAACCTCCACTCACGATTTGTTTTTCTGGCTAATACAAAAAATCTAAAGTTTAAAAAGAACAAAACCTAAGTACTGCATCTAACTAAAACCATATAGAGATAATGTGATTTAGAAAGTGTGTGTGTGATTTAGAAAGAGAGATGCCGCCTGCTGTTGCCATTATGAGCTTGGCGTCACCCGCAGCAACCACTGCTCTCTTATCCTTCACTCGTTCCCCACTCTCTCCTCCGGCAACGCATGCACCCTTACAACATCCATTTTGTAAAACTCCGATACAAAAATTAATTTCATTAGCTTAATTTTATTTTTAATTAAACATATTTTAAATATGGATACTTTATAGAGTAGTAGAAAAGTAATTAAATAATAAAGTTCTATGATTGGATTTCATGTTATCATTTTATTTTCTTCCAATGCAAAATGGCTTGGTATATGTATATCTATGTGTGTGTGTGATGGGTAGAAATCAGATTCTAGAATTTATGTTGCTTATTTTTATGTTTTAGTAAGTAATTGATAAAGGCTTTACGTGGGCAGCTTGATGACTTAGTGTGACACATGTTAAACACTAAGATTTGCATGGGAATTCCTTGATAACAATATGTCTTGCCAGTACATCAATAAGGCACTTAAAACATTTATTTATTTGTGATGTGTGTGTTTTATACATGACAATAAAGCTTCAGTAAAAAGCTTGTTTTGAGGACTGCTGCTTGTATACATAATAAAATAATATTAGTATGTTAAAAATTTCTTCAAGAAGCTTATTAAGGCGGTGGTGTTTGTACCTGTAACACGTGTAGCAAGTATATGCATTTATTGACAGCATACTAGGGTAGTTCGCAAAGGAATCAAAAACTACACTTTCCTATTCCAGAGCATTTATAGATAGTAATACGAGAAAACATACAATAAACTATAGAGAGAGATTGTAGAAATGGAATCAGAGAGGAGAATAAAGAAGAAAAGAAAAGGAAAGGGTGCCGGAGAAAGCTCAGTGGGCAGGTATATAGATATTTATTTTTAAAAAAATTTCATAATATAGATTTATGATTGGAAGCTCGTGTAGTGGAAGTGATAAACTGTTCTTGGAAGAAATTCTATTTCAATTGTCCTCTTTCAATTGGGTTGTAAACTTCTTACTGGGTTGTGAGTATTATATAGAAATTTATTCTAAATGTTCAAAAGTGGAATTTCCATTTCAATTGTCTAGAACAGTTGAGATTTATTTTAGAAGTAATGATTATTATTAAGTTTTCCTAGCAATCAGTATAACTTGATTTAGGGATTTTGCATAAATTGCATATATCCTGATTATTTCACTTGATTTATTCAATTGTTAAATTATCTAAGTTGAGATCATGGTTAGTTGTTGGAGTTGTTGACTGGTACAAGTTGATAAAATATATCAGTGAAATAATGTGGGGGGAAAAAACGCTAGTGAAAGAGGAAGAAAGAAAGGGAGAAAAAAAAAAAAAAAAAAAAAAAAAAGAATAAAAAAGGGAACCCAGAAGGGGCTCGGCAGAGAAGGAATGAAAAGAGGAATAGGGGAAGAGGAGGAGATAAATAAGGAAAGCTAGAGAAATTAAGGAAAACCAACTTTAAAGGTAGAGATTTTTGTATTTGAGATCTTTATGTTAGGAGTATGGAATTAATTACTCAAATAATTAAAGTACTGCGTTGTTCTTAAATTAATATCATGTTTCCATTAGTTTTCTTCTAATTGCATTGATAAATTGAGTGAAGTAATATAATTCTGATTTGATTGGAGTTTTATCAAGGAAAACTTATATAAATTTTTATGATTGCAAATTTTATTACAATTGTGTGCCATAGTGGGGATTTAATATTAAAATGAGTAATATTTTTTAATGCTCTTTAGAAATGAATATGACGTGATTATATTAATGTTCAGGCACGGAGAAGGAAAGGACCACATGTACCGAAAGAAAAATAAATAATTTGGAAAGTAATTAAGGTGAGTGTACTCACTGGAAGTTTATATTTGGATATATTTAATTGAAGTATTGAAGTTGTTATGTGAATTGAAGATGAATATTTATATAACTTGATTATATTATATAAGGTCTGTACTCTGGCCTGGAAGGAGAGTAATATATTATATAAGGTCTATACTCTGATCTGGAAGGAGAGTACTACCTTAAATAAGGTACATACTCCGGCCAAGAAAGAGAGTACTATATTTAAATAAGGTCCATACTCTGGCCTAGAAGGAGAGTACTATATTATATAAAGTTCATACTCTGGCTTAGAAGGAGAGTACTATATTTTAATGCTTGTAATATGTTAATGAAGTTTAATTGAAGTTGTTAGATAATATTTGTTTATATTACTCTGATGTGGTAGTGTTGCATATATTGGGCTTTAAGCTCATTCCTTCCATATTTATATTTTTTTTTTTCAGGTATCAGGTTGGGTTGCTACTGCCAAGTCTAGAATCTTGTGTGTGAATGGGGAAAAGAATAATGTAATGTCTTTTGTTTAAGATATAAATATTGCAGTAGAATTTAATAGTGTAACTTATCATTAACGATTTAGTTTGTCAGAATTTGCATAATGGGCCTATAATTTGTTTTAAATTGTAAACTGTTAAACAGGTATTCTGATGTAGGATGACGTTATGTTTGAATGAGGTTAATGCAGATGGTTATATGCATTCCAATTTGTTCAATTTATTAAATAATGTAAATTGGGTTGGGGTGTGTCACATTTTCTCTCTCATACTCCACCAACTCTGACCTCACTAATTAGCTATACCAAACGCCTCCTCGTACCATACAATTTTCGTTCCTCAATCACCGTTGCCGCCTTCTACAGCGATGATGATGGTGCATTTTTGTAGGATGCCGGAGAGACGACAGCTGTCATGGTCAGCGCTTACGGTCTCGTCTCCGTCTACGATAATCTTACTCAGCGCAACCTCGTCGAACGGGTCTTTCTCAATCTCAATCTCTTTATATATATATATATATATATATATATATATATATATATATGTATATGCACACACAGATACATTACGGCTAATATGCATGAATATACACAGATATCGTTGACGGCGGCGTTGACGATTGTACCACAATGGAATTCAAAGCATCCATAAACTGTCCCTATCTAACTTCCCCTTGTTTAATGCCAAACTTGATGGCGTTGCCGACGACAGATTCACCTGGAAGAAAAATAACCTTAGCCTCGCCGGTTTCGCCGTAGGCTGATACAATCGATCGTACTCGTGCATCATGTGGTCGAGATCGTCGTTATTGGTGATCGATATCAACGCATTGAGATCTTCTCCGGGTAACTGGTACTTGAAGTAAACGTCGGCGTCACAAAGATCTCAGAGTTTCATATGGGTACTTTAGTAATTTTAGATGGCAACGTGAGGGTATTTCAATAATTTTGATTGGTCCGTTAGTGTATTTGACGGTCCATCACACATAAGGGAGGTCTGTGTTGGATATTTTCATTGTTAGGGGAGGTCCGAGTAAATTCCCAAACCAAAGGGTAGGTCCGTGTAATTATGAAAAATTATAGGGGAGGTTTGTGTAAATTACCCTAATTAAAATGATTTTTTTTTTTTTTCAATACAAATTGAATTCAAACGATGATTCAACTGATTTAAATATATATGATTACAAAATGTGTGTGTGTGTATATATATATATATATATATAGGAATTCGATTGAGTCAGTGATTGATGGTGGAAGTGGTTCGATTAAATAAGTTATGAGTTATAAACATTTTTGTATATGTATATGCTTATAGGGTATGGCGGTGATAGGTAGTGGCCGGTGATAGAAGTGGAGATTGAATGAAGAAGAGAGATAAGAGATTGCGATGGTGGTGGGAGGAGGTCAAAGGTGGTGTCTTTCTCCTGTGTCCTCGCCTTCGACGTGGGTCAGCTCCGCTACCTCTTCAACTTCACCCTCGCCTTCGACGTGGGTCAGCTCCGCTACCTCTTCAACTTCACCCTCGCCTTCGACGTAAGTTACCTCACTAATCAGTTCTCCGGTCCACCGCTGCCCCAACATTATCGTCGAGTTCCTCGTTCGCCAGAAGCTTATTGTAACAGGCAAACTTACCAGCGTCTTCCAAGTTCATCATCACCAACCACTCGCCCACGCGCCAGACGCTCCTGCAAGTAAATCTGACTCACCCTTCGCGCACCCACGCGCTCCTTCTTCTGTAATGTTTTTTCGTTGCTCTTCCATTTGTCGCCCGTGTTCACCACCTCTGATGAGCACTGAAAAGTGCGCATTTAAGCCAAAGCTTGAGTGTTCTATGACCTTTATCTATCTTATTTTTTCGTTTTAGATTAATTTCGTGTTATTTCCATTTTCAGGTCAATAAAGTTAAAACGAGCTAAAAATGGTTTCTTAAGGCCTTTTTGGAGTCAAACTAAGTCTTGGTGAGAATTTGGAGCAAATGGAAGCTGATCTGGATCAAAAGGAGGCTGATGTTGAAAAACTGCCAAGTTGGATCGATCCAAGAAAAGTTGGATTGATCGAACCCTGATCGATAGAAGAAAAGTTGGATCGATCGAACTGTTCGCGAAAGTTATTAAAAAGTAGATCTGAATCTCATTTCGAACCAACTCGGGCTGTGCTTAAAAGAGAAGATTCTGGGGCCGAGTTCTCACCTTTTTGGGCTCTCAAAGCCTTGTATATAAGAGGGATTCAACCATTTTTATAGGGGGATTCATTATTATTTCATTATAATTTCTATATTGTTGGAGTTTCTCTCTCTAGAAAGTTAGATATTAGGGTTAGAAGAAAAGAAGGAAGTGGAGGCACATCTCATGAACCCATTCTAGATCCACATACTCTCTCTCTCTCTAGAGCTTCAAAGAATTAGAAGAAGAAGAGGAAGAAGAAGATGGAGCTATGTTTGGAGCTTGCCCTTAAGGGTTTCAAGATCACATCCACCTCCTCCATGATTGGCTAGATCTACACTTAGGGCTTGGATGAGCCCTAATTCTTGTGTAATTTAAACCCTTGTATTTCTATTTTTGGGGATTTATATATATATTGTTGTGATTAGTGCTTAGCCATGTGATTGTTGATTTAATTCTTCCTTATGATTCTCTATTTTAATTACATGTTGTCTTATGTATGATTATTTGGGAATTAATCTCTACCCTAGATTCTCTGTGTTTGTTGCATGTTTATGTGTGATTAATTAAGGATTTAGTGATGGTTAAGCATGAGTTTTCATTAAATGGGTTTGTCAATTAATTTGATGGATTATTCTTATGCTTAATGGGTTGTTTTACAATTTAATTCATGCTTATAGGTAGGTAGACAATCTATACTTGATTCGATATTCCATGGCTTATTATTGCAAATTCCATGATTCTCTAGATTGATGTGTGCTCTCATTAGACCCATTTGTTGATTAATTAATGGATTATGCCTTTGTCTTGGTGGGTTGTTCTACACTTAGTTTATTTGTTAGTTAGGTAAACAATTCACTCTTGCATTAAATAGTTCACACTTTTATATGCAAATTGTGTTTATGTTTGTAGCCATATCTTGATTGCAACAATGTATTCCCCATTAATGGAAAACAAGTGGTTAATTACATGAGTTTAGTGGTGATTCCAACATCCTAAGACCTTTATTCATATCTCTTAAATTCCTATCTCTCACTTAGTTTACTTTACTTGCATTTTAATTTAATTGTTTTCTAGAGTAATCAACCAATCCAACTCTTTTTTGCAATCTTTTGATACGCTAAAGTCGAAGTAAAATTCCAACACGTATAATCTTTGTGGACGATCCCTACTCGCTATACTTCATTAGTTGTAGTAGTGGTTTTTATAAATGTAAATTTGACTAGAAAGGCTTTCGAAACCACATTCATATTTTGACCTTGCGAAGGGACCTCTCACATTAAAAAGTCCGTTTTCTAAACACATAGGAAGGGGCTTATCAACCTCCTTCACGAAAACCGTTGTAAGTTGCAAACGAGCTTCCAGTGATCATTATTTGCCGCCGGTGCTTACCACCATCTTGTGTGACCCAACCGAAAAATATCTTCTCTTCACATTGTCTTACCCGGATTCGCGTAGTGGGCCTGCTAGTGTTGCAAAACATCACTTCTCTCTCCGGAAAATGTCGCCTATAATGGTGGTGGAGGTGGTGGCTTGTAATGATGGTGGGAGGAGGTGGCTCATTGGTGGAGAGGAGAGAGAAGAAAATGGATGAGGGGCAAAATAGGAAGAAAAAAAAAAAGAAAGGGTAAAATCGGATTTTCAAATTTATTTTTTGCGAAAAAGTAATCAAATGGGCTTATTTGTACCTTTTTAAATATTATGAACTGAAATGCATATTTTAAAAAAATATGGACTAATTGTGCACATAACCAATATTACGGGTTTTTTTTGTTGCACTTAACCAAATAAATTTACTTTTAATAACTAGGATGAGGTTATTAAACAATAATTTTAAAATTATATATATATAATAGGTAATTTGGCACGTAATAGAAAACTTGGTTAAATATCTTATGTGAATTGGTATAGAAAATTGATGTGGGGACTCTATTCATATGGAATTAAGATAAGAATAATGGTGATAATGATTTAAGAGCATAAATCTGGATGGATCTTGTGATAGCCCTGGTTTTTAGGCCAGTGTGTCCTATGTTAAACCGAACGAAAATCAAAGAATGAATCAAGAATGTGGAAGCTAAAGGGAAATATGGCCTCTAGAGATGTACATCATCCCTAAGACATAAGGATGGCTTCCTAAGAAGTCCCAAGACTCAATGGAAGTAAGAAGAGAACAAAGGCTTTAAAATCCTATAAGATATGGACTAAGGGTATAATAATCATTTCACCCAGAATTGAATGCTACCAGGTACACCATTGGAAACACAAAAAAAAAAAAAAAAAAAAAAATGAATTTAGACCCAAGAATTACCTAATTCGTAGTCCGGACGGAAAAGATATGAATTTTTGAAGAAGAGTATTCTCCCCTCTAAAGTTGACCCAAAAGTTCTGTCCGAGATGCTGAGAGTGAACCATGCATCAGGGAGGATCAATTGGCTGAACCTCCATCATCAGCCGACCGAAAGTCAATTGTCAGCCAGCTGAACCCCAATCATCAGCCGGCTGATAGCTCATTTTTTTCTAAAATGGCTACTGGAATGCTACGAGACCATCATCAATCGACTGATGATTGCCATCAGCCGACCGATGGAACCTGCTGCTGCTAAAAATGTCTGCTATACTCACTGTAATCCAAGGGGAAAGATGCTAGGATCATTTCTAAGGTTATGCATGCTTTCTAATTGATTCAAACAAGCTTCAAAACATCATTGGACCTTAACTGAACAACCATTACATGTTAATTCATAAGCATAAATAAAAATATTTACAATGGCATGGTTGATTTGCCAAAGCATAATTACGTTGTTATGTGTTAGATGATTAAAATATCATCTATGGTTGTTGTATGTATGGATTGGATTAGGGTTAGATATTCTTAAATGAGAATAGTTTAGTACTTACTGGTTAGTGTATTATTTTCCATTAATAAAATAATATTGGGGAAGACGTGGATGATTTGTCAAAACTTGGATTTTGGATATGTGATTTAAACAATTAAAATCATTATCGGGTTGGGATTAAATAGAGTATTTCTTTTATTATAATTTGTTGTTTAAAT